CTCCCTACCACACTCTACTATCCTCCTCCATTACACACTCCCTTCTTCAAACCCCCCCTTTTAACTACCCTACCACTTCCCCAAATACCCTTCTCCTTTTAACCTTCTTCCACCCACACACAAAACCCTCCACCACCTTATAATTATAATATCTCTCAACTTTCCTCCCACCACCCCTCTCTTTCCCCCCCTAACCCTCTTCCTTCTACCCTTTATATCACCTCTCAAATTCAATCTCCCTTTTTACCCAACTCTCTCTTCATTCTCCCATCTCCTTTTTCACCTCTCCATCTACGTTCCACACTCCTATTTCCTCCATACTTCCTTAATCATTTTACCCTACCATATCCATCTCATAATTTCATCAACCTCTATACATTTCTATACTTAAATATATTTGTCCTCCTGTTCTCCTCTCTTCCAGTCTTTCTCTTACTCTCAAACTCAGCTTACCATTCCTATTCACACATACTCATGCCACCCTGCTCTGTTATCTCCCCTACCACCATACCCACCCCCCCTCCTAACCCCCCCTTTCACCCCTCCATCCACATTTTCACCCCATCTTTCCCCCAATTCAATTAAAAACCCCATTTCTCCTTTACCCCTATTCCTCCTTTCCCTCACTCATCCCCCCCTCTATCCCTCACACATACCATCACCCCCCCACTTTCTCCCTCCCATTACTTCTATCTTGTTTATCTATTTATATCTAAAAATTCTCCCCATACATTTCCCAACCATATTTTACCACCTCCCTCTTTACAACATCCCACAACTCCATCTTTTTTTCCCACTACTTTTCCCACTTGGACTTCCTTACCCCACCAACATTTCCCCCCCCCATCCCTTTCCTCCATATCACCCTCCTTTTCAACGTCCTAACTAATCACCCCCAACCCCCCTCCTCATCCCTTTCCTATCCCTCTCCTTTTTCATAACCTCTTCCCCCCCCCACCCAATTACATTATCCTTATTTAATACCATAACTTCCCTCACATCCCCCTTCAATCCCCACTACAAACTCCTCCCACTCTATATCCCCCAACCCCCCTTTACACCACTCATTACCACCCCCAATTTCCACCCTATTTATTCTCTCAATCTCATTAACCCTTACCACCAACTTAAACCTCCCATATAACAACTCCTCCCCTCTCCCCTCACCTTTCCCCTCCCCCTCCCCCCTCTTATTTTCTACATTTACCACATAATCCCCACCTTTCTCTCCCTTTCTAATACTTACACTCCCCCTTCCCTTACCCCGAACTCCCACTCTCTCCTTATCCCCATCTATACTTAAATTTCATCCTATATCTTTTCCCCTACTTTCACCCCCCAACCCCCTTCTCCCCTCCTCTTCAATCCTAAACAACCATATCCCCCATACTCCCTTCCATACTCTCCTCACCACTCCTCACCCCCATATACCCACACAACTAACATAACCCCACTCCCCCCCCCCTCACCAACACAAACCCCCCACACTTACCAATTCTCACCTATTAAATCCCCACCCCCCCAAAAATTTCTCTTATCTTCAAAACCTCAATTCCTTTCTACTTTTCATCCAAAAACCCCCCCCTCCCACTCCCTTCCCCTTCCCTTTCATTCATTCCCTTTCTACCCTTTCCAATCCCTCCTTTCCCTCATCCCACACATTTCTTACATCATCCCCACCCACCCCCCCCAACCATTAAATATACCCCTATACCACTAATATCCATAAATCTTTTTCTCTTATACCCTCTTCTTTCCCCATCATTCAAACCACCATCCTTTCATCCCCCCACCACCATCCTTCCCTCCCTATATACCTTCACCCCTCTTCACATCTCATCCTCCTTTCCACCTCACCTTTTATCTCACACCCCCCCCCCCCCCCATATAATCTCTACTCTCCCTATACCAATACCCCTACCCCACCACTCTCCCCTTCCCCATCCATAAAAACTACATATACCCCCCACATCCCACCCCGCTCATCCTTCCACCCTACCTCTACACCCACAACCCCACACCAACCCTCACTTTACCCACCCAATCCAAATCAAACCCTAACCATATAATCTCCCCCCCCTTCCCATAATATACCCTCAAACCCCTCAAAAATATCCTCAACCATTATCCTCACATCCCAACTACCAAACACCCCCCCCCAACCACAACCCCATACCCCCCCCACTATAATACCCATATACCCCTCCACCACACATCTCCCATAAAAAAACATACAATTATACTTCTCACAATCCAAAACTAACAATAAAATCCCATCTCCCCCACATAACCTCACCCATACAAATCAACCCCCACCATTCAACACCCCTTTTTATTCCACCCATTATTATCCCCCACCATATTCACCATTCTCAAACACCCCCATACTTCCAATTTCTATATTCTTTCCACACAAAACAAACACTAAACAAATTTATACCTAATTACTTCCCACATAAACCCTAAAAACCCCCATCTCCCCCCCCCCCCCCAATACACCTACCAAACCCAAACTCAAATATCTTAACCCTAACAAACTACCCCTCACATATCCTCTTCCTATCCCTTCTTCCTATCTTTCCCAACCCGTCTATATATTCCCATCAAATCCCGATACATGTTCTCCAATTAACCCCCATCAACATATACGACCTCTAAGCCCTTTACACCTGTAATGTCTACATCCAGTTCATACCCCCCCAACATCCCAATCAACCCTCCTATTTCCCTAACAACCCTAACTAAAATGTAATTTGTTTTCCCCCACCTATACCCACCCCGATACATATCCCCACCATCCCCCACCATCCCCACATCCTTATTATATACCCCCCCCTTCTTCCTTCATAACATCTATATCTCCCACTCCCAATCTCAATCCCCCTATTTTTCATAATTTACCTTTTTTAATCACTACCAATCCCCATTACCCCTCCCTCTACCACCTATTTCTACTTATTCTCCTTATATCTTATTTCCAATCCCCCCCCCCCACCCAACCTTCCCATCCTCCCCCAAAATCAAACCCCCCCCATCTCACATACTCACCACACCCTCCCAACCTACTATCCAACCAACAAAACCCAAAAACTCCTACACCCCAACCTAATATCCTCCAATCCACTCTACCCCAACAACCCCCAACTACATCTCTTCCCCCACATCGATATTTACCTCATTTCCCTCTCCTATACCCCATCACTCCCCCCCCCTCAAAACCACCTACTCCCACCAAAGATATTATCACATAACACCCTATTCCTAATCCACCTAAAACCCCCCCCATACAAATCATCACAATTTTATCCACCCCACCCCCTTTTCCCTTCTTCCCCAAACCCTACTTCACTAATAACCCCATCTCATCCCTTACCCCATCTCAACCCACCTTCCCTACAACTGTACCCCCCCCCCACCATAACAACTCCATTACAAACCACCCCCCCTTCCCATCTCCCCCCCCTAACCTTCATCTCCCCCCTTCAAAATTCCCCCCTCACCAAATACCAAAAAACCACCCCCCTCTATATATCATTCACCCCTATCCACACCCTCCCAAATTACCCCCACCCTCTTTCCCCCTCTCCCTCTTACATTCCCCCCTTTCACCCCCATTACCTTTCACCCCTCCCTTCCTATTCCAAATTCCTCTTCTATTTTCCCCCGTCCCCCCTACCTAACTTTCCAATTCCCCCCCTTTTTCCCCTCTCCTCTCTACCTCACCTCTTTTCTCCACCACACTTAACCTCCCCTTTTATAAACCCCTTTCACCTACTCTCTTCCTCCCCCTTATTTACTCTCCATTTTAAATTCCCCCACCTCCCCCACCTACTCCATTTCACCCCCCTTTTATTTCAAAATCACCCTACCTCATTTCCCATTTCTCCCAACCTTTTCCTTCCCTCCCCCCTCCAATCCTTTCACCCATCCCTCCCTCTCCCTTTTTTCACCCCTCCCTTTTCTATTTCCCATTTTCCACCCCATTACCTTTTTACCTCTTTATATCCAAATCCCACTCCCCTTTTTCCCCCCCCTTCCTCCCTAACATTCCAATTCCCCCCTTTTTTTTTCCCTCCTCCTCTCCTACCCTCACACCTTCTCCATAAACACTTACCATTCCACTTTTTTAAACCTTTCCCTAAATAATTCTCCCCCTTTTCAATCTCCAATTTTTAATTACCCCTCACTACTCCCATTTACCCACCTTTTATTCAAATCACCCCTCACCATCACCCTTCCATTTATCACCATCCTTTTTTTTCACTACCTCCCCTTCAAACCTTTCCACCCACCCCCCCCTCACCCACCCCCAACTTAATAAATCACCCACCCCCCTATACATCAAACCCCCTCTTCCATGACCACATCCACCCCCCAACTTAAAAAAAATATTTAACACCCCCCCCACCACACCCCTCTACCAATAAACACCTTCTTTCCACACTTTCCTACAAAAAACATTCCCCCCCCCACCAACCCTAAATATAACCTTATTTACCCAAATACTTTCTAACCTCCATTTCCCCCATTCCAACCTCATAAAATACCATTTCCTCCAAACTAACATACAACCCACCTACCAACTCCCCCACCCACACAAAACCATTACAAACAAAACTAAAAAAAAAACCTAACAATCTATAATCCCTCAACAATCCCACTTACAAAACCATCCACCACCATATCCTCATACACTTACACATTATCTTCCATCCATCCTTCCAGTCCCTAATCTACATACCCCTTTCCCAAACCCTACATACTTACCCTTCTTACCATACAACACCCCTCCATCACCTCCTATTCCTACCCTTCATAAACCACTAATCAGATTTCTCTCCCACAAAAAACAACTCCCACACCCACCCAGTTAACTTACCCTCCTCCATTCCATTCCACCCCCCCTTTACCCAACCCCCTCCTTTTCCCATCCCCCACCCCATTTTATTCCACATTTAATCCATTAATCCTTAACACTCAATCATAAACATAACTCCCTACTAAAATATCTCTTCAACAACCTTCACACCATCTCCCCCTCCCCACCCCCCACACCCTATTCCAAACTTTTCCCCCCACACACCCACAAACCCAACACCCTCCACAACCCATCCTTCACCCAAATACACATTATCTTCACAAACAACCCTCAACCTACCACAACCCCATCACCCATTCCCACCCCCCCAAATCATCAAATTCCTCACCCTATACCCCAACATTACTACATCACTCAATCCATATTCATTTCCATACCCATTCTCTCATATTCCCCCTACATACACCCCCACACAACACCAAACCAAATCTCCCATAATCCACTACTCAAATATCCAAACCACCTAAATTAAATTTGTTTCCTTCACTCCCACACATCATCCTCTCCCCCCAACCCCAAATTCATCCATTCCTTACTTCTACATCACCCCCATAATATTTATTATACAACTCACTTTCTTTCCCCTCCTACTTTTAAATTACCTCTCATTCCCATTCAACATATCCACCCCCCTCCCCACCCACTCTCCCCACAAACCTTCTACCCCCCCCCTCCCCTTCCCAAACTCAACCCCAAAACCCAACCAAACCCATCCTAAATCCCCATCATCCCCTCAAAACACCCTAATTTCCTACCCCTTCCCATATCCTAATTCACCCCTACAACCAACAACCTTACCTTCATACACCTATTCACAAAATCCCCCACCACCCAACAACAATCATTCCCCACATCCCCACCCCCCCACTCTACCCACACCCATCCCTAAACTCCCCCATAACTTCTAATTCACCAACAACTTTTAAATCCCCCACACTTACTCCCCACCCCCCCCCCACATAACCATCCATTCACCACTAACCCACCCTACCTCTTTCTCCTTACCCTTCTATAACCCCCACTTCAATCCTTCTTTACATACTTTTCCCCCACCTCCTCCCCCCCTCCCATACCCCCCCACAACACCCCCTCCCTCCCCTTCAATAATTCTAAAAAACCCCACTAACACCCCCCCCCTCACCCCCCAAAAATATACCCCAACCTTCACACATCACTCCCAAACATTTCAATTCCTCTAATTTTTCCCCCCCTTCATTTAATACCATCAAATAAACAACACCCACCCCTCCCCCTCCATCCATCCCCACCCACCCCCCATTAACCCTACATTCCTTTCCACCCTCCCCACAACCAATAAACCTCAAAACCATCCTAAAAATCCCAACTAACCAACCACCACCTCCAACCCCCACCAAAACATCCACCAAACCACCCCTCAATACAACACCCATCCCCTATAAAACTTACCTTATACACCTACACCCTCCACCAAAACCTCCAAATCCCCCCCCCCCCTATCCACCACACCATCATCAAATCCCTCCCAACCCTCCCCCCTAAAAATCATCTCCAATCCCACCCTTACCCCTTATTAATTTCCTTCCTCTTTTCATTCCCCACCCAACACCCATCCCATACCCCCTCCATACCCCCAAACCCCCTTCCCCCCAATTGTTCACCCCCACCCTAAATATTACCCCCCCCACCCCCCCTTCAAAATATCCCACCCACCCCACAAATACCCCCCAATACCCCCCCCACCCCCATATTATAACCCTTCCCTCTCTCCCAAAACCACCCCCAAAATATCCCCAACCACAACCCCATACCCAACCCTTAACCCACATAACCCCCCCCCCCCCCCTCCCAACAACATATTTCCCCACCCCCCACCCAAATACCTCCCTCCCAAAAATCCCTAACAACCCCCTCAACCCCTCCCATACATATTCCCCCCAAACCCAAAAATTAATCACCCAAACCCCCCTTACATAACCCCTAATATCCCAATCTTCACCCCCCCCATAAAATCCACCCCTTAAAAATAAACAACACAACCTCCCCCCTTCCAAAATTCCTATACACCCAATCCATCCCATCCAAACCAACCCATCAACATCCATTCCCCCCCCCCTCCACTACCCCCCCCACCATACACATATAACCACCCTCACACACACACTCCAACTTCAAACACCCTTATCCACCACCCACCTTCTCCATCCACAACCACCCATATCCCAAAATCCCAAATACAACAAAATACCACACACCCCAAACACCCCAATACATATAAAACATCCACTCCCCACACCAACAAAACAAAACAAACCTTACCACAAACCCCTATACACCCACCCCCCATCACACCCCCCCCACACCACCCTACATCACTAATATCCCCATAATAAATCAAACCCCCCTAACCCTACCCTCCTCACCTAAAAATCAATTCACCCTCATTTTTCTTCTCTCCCTCTTCTCCCTCCCTCTTTCTCTCTCACCCCAACCTCTCACCCCTCACCACTCCCATCCACATCAACCTCACCCCCCCTCTCCCCCCCTTTCCACCCCCTCTCCCCTACCTCTCCCAAAACTCATACCCTCACATCAAACAAACTAATTCCCAACCCCACTTACAAAAATCCCCCCCTATAACATAATCCCCTTCCCAAATCTCTAATAATCCTTACCTCCAAACCTAACAAAACTCCCCCATTTACTTTATATACCTTACACCTATATACCTCAATCTCCCTTATTCTTCCACTCCCAACCCCAACTCTAAACACCCCCTAAACCCCAACCAATCTCCACCATATCCCCACACCCCCACCAAAACTCCCATCACCTATCAACAAAATACTCCCTCCACAATCCATAACCCTCCCCTACCACCCAATCCTCTACCCCCCCTCCCATCCCCACCAATCTTAAACCATCTAATATACCCCCCAATACAACCCCCCCCAAACCCCCTAACACCCAAATAAAACTTCCCCCCCCAAAAACACTCCCCAACCCCCCCCATACCCCAAAAATATAACCCATTTCCAAAACCCATTCTTAACCAATATATTCCCTCCCCAAATTCCCCCATACCCCCTCTCAATAATATCCCCAAAACCCTCACCCCCAATCAATCTTTCCTTACCCCTATACAATACCCTATCCTTCTCCCCCTCAAACCCCCCACTCCACCCCAAAACCCAACACCAAATCATCTCTCTCCTCCACATCTATAACCATATTACAATTATCCCCATTTCACTCACCTCATATCAAAAAACAAACCCCACTCCTCCCAAACCATACCCCCAATTTCCATTCACTCCCCACTCATTAGCCCCCTTCTTCCACATATCCCCCATAACCCCAACATTCTACACAAATACAACAAAACCTACACACATATAACCCTCTTCATATCTATCCCAAAAACTTCAAAAAACCCTAACACAAACCAAACCCCCTATTAACAAACCCCCCATCAAAACATAATCCCTCTCCCCCCATCCCCAAACCCCCCCCCCCAATTTACCCTCCCCCCCTACCCCCTAACCCAATCTCCACATCAATTCCCCCCCAACACCCAAAAAACCCCCCCCCCCCCCCCCCCCCAACAAAATCCACCACAAACTAACACTAAAACCACCCATACCCAACTACCCATAACCCCAACCATACAAAACCCCAACCACCCCAACTACCCACATTATCCCCAAAATTCACCATCCCCCACAAATCTTACCCCCCTCAACCAACCATCATACCCACCACCCCATCCTTCCCCTTTCTACCATCAAAATATACCCTCAACCACCCTTCATCTCAAATCCCTCCAACCCCATAACCCTCTCTTCTTCCACAAACAAAATTCCCCCTACATACATAACCCAATCCAAAAACCCCCCACCAACCATACCTCCTAACCTTCCCACCAAATAAACTCAAACCACCTTTCTATCAAATCAAAAAAACACTCACCCTCCCCATCTCCACCTAACCACCAAAATTCCTACACCCCCCATCCCCTCACCAAACACCAACCACAATAAAACCCCACCCCCCTAACTACCCCCACACCTCATCACTTCCTCCCCCTCCTATAGTCTCCAATCCCAACCATTTCCCCCCAACCCATCATAAATTATCCACCCCATAAAATCCATTTTCCCCCTCATCCACCCCACCAACTCCTTCCTCTTCACCTTCAATTATATCCTATAATCATTCCCCCCTTACCCCTACTATTCACCCTCCCTCCCTAATCATATTATCACACACACACCCTAACATCACTACACCTCACAACACTCTTTTCATACTAATTTTCTCATGAAAACACCCCATTTATACCCCCCCCACAATCCCATCCCCTCCACTCCATATCATCTACTACCCCCCCCCCAACCTCACACCCGCCCCCTACACTCATCTTCAAACATCCCCCCCCACATCTCCCAACCCCCACTTCTCCATCACCCACCTTCACCCCACATTCAATCCCAACCTATTCCATAACACATACACCAACAATCTTCCCCCCCCCTCCCTCCTCCTCCCCCCTCTATCCCCCACCCCTCCCCTCATCCCCCCCCTAACCCCATACCACCCTCTTCTTATACCCTATCCACATCTACCCACACCCCCCCCTCTCCCCCCATACCACCTTTCCCCTACACCTCCCATATTCATCTATTCCCCCCCCCCACAAATAAACCATCCAATTCCCATACCCCCACCCCCACCCCCTCTCACCCATTCAATCACAACCCTTCTCCCAACCCCCTCCCAAATTCAAATCCTTTTTCCCTTAACACCCCCCACATCCCCCCTAATCTTAAAATATCCCCCCTATCCCCAACACCCCTCACATCCTTCAACTCCTCATCTATTCCCCCTCCTATCCCTCTACATAACCCATTACTCACCCAAAAAATCATCTCCTTCTTCTACACATAACCCCCAACATACTTCCCCCCCCCCCCTTTAAAAAAAACCCCCATATTCTCCCCAACTATATCTTATAACAATAATTATAATCCTATCTCCCAACTAACCAAATACACCCCAACCCCATCAAACTCATTTATCTCTCCCCTTATCCAATAAAATCCCATATTTACATACACCCCCCATAACACCCAAAAAACCAACCCATACTCTTTCCTCCTATCTCACCTACAAATCCCATACCACAATTTCATCTCCCCCCATTCACCCTTTACCTCCCAATATTCTCTCCACTACCCCATTCATTCTACCCCCACATATTTTCTCCTCTCCCCTTCTCAATATTCTAATATCTCCTATCACTTATAACTCTCCTTCCAAAAATCCACAATCTAAATCCCCTAATCATCCTTAAAACCCCCCCACTCCGACATCCCCTCTTTCATCATATTCCGTAAAATACTATAAACCCAAATCCCATACCCCATAAATACCCCCCCTCCCCCACACCTCTCCCTCCCAACATCCATTACACCTCTCTCCTCCCACTACTCTATTCCCTCCCCCCAGCCCATTTTCCCTTCCATCCCCAAATTCCACTCTATCCTTCCCCACCCTATTTACCACCACCCCCCCCCCAATTCCAATACCTTACTTAACCAACCCAAAAACCCATCCCCACCCCAATCCTATAACAAAATATATCTAACAACAAAATCCACAAATATAACTCTCTATTCAAAACAACTAAAAAAAACTCCCCTAAACTATCCCCCCCAAAAACCCCCCAAATAACCAAACCCTCTTCCCACAACTCACCCAACCATACCCCTTCCATTCCCCAACCTCCAAAATCATCTCCACCATACACAATATCCAACACTTCACCTCTACCCCATACACCCAACACCTCACCCACACCCCAAACACACACCCCCCCCTTACATACCCTACACACAAAAAAACCCCCACTACCATACACCCAAAAACCCCCAAAAAATTATTATATCCTCCCTCAAAAAACCCTATCCCCCTTTCATTCCCAATTCCCACCCCCCCCCTTAATCCCCCATCATACTCTCACCTACATTACATCCTCCTACCCCTCATTCCCCCATCCATCCCCCTTAATAATACATATTACCTACATCCCAACCCAAAATTCATACCTCTTCATACAACATTCCACACACAACCCCCCCACAAAATAACCCTTTCCCTACCATCACAACCTCCCACTTTAACCCATCATCTATACTACCTTTCTCACCCCCCATTCCCCACCAAACCCCAACCACACATCACTTATCCCACATAAATTTCTCAAACCATAACCCACACCCCCACACCTACATTCCATTTAACACAATCTAAACAACCCCCTTATCTCCTCCCACCCAATCCAACCCCCCCCCCACAAAAACCACCCCCCACACCCCCCCCAACACCACCACAAAAAACACACAATACCAACACCACACAAACCCACAAACCCACACAACACCCCCAAAACACCACCACACCACCAACACAAACAAAACAAACACAACACCACACACAACAACCCCCACACACAACACACACCCACAACAACCAAAACACACCCCACAACACAACTCACACACCACAAACCCCACACACCACCACAACACACAACAAAACCCACCAACCACCCCCCACACCACACCCACCAAATCAACCACACACACCCCCTACCACACATTCACACACACCACACAACCACACCCACCAAACACCCCACACTCCCCAACACACACCAACACCCAACACACACAACCATACACACAACACCCCCCCTCACACCAACCCACACACACACCACCCCAACACACATCACAAACCCCCCCAACCACTCTCCCACCACACACACACATATACCCCTCCCAAGCCCCCCAAAAAAACAATACACACAAAAAAAAATCAAACACTCAACACAAAACCCACCCACCAATCCCAAAACCCAATCCCCCAAACCCACCCTTAAATAATTAACCATACAAAACCTATCAACAAGATCCCCACCACCATCCTCACCTTCCCCCCCTATTATCCACCACCCTCTCACCACACCCCATCCCCCCCTCTACCACTCCATACCCATTCCCAAACATCCCCATCTTTTCCTTTCCTCCCTATATTCCAAATATTTCCATTAACATAATAATCACAAAATTACCTCCAATAAATAAATACACACTATCCACCATCAGCTTATCATTAATAATAACCTATAAAAAATTCAAATTTCAAAAGACATTATAACAACCTAATACATCCTAAACATTCCCCACCCACTCCCAACATCTCAAATCCCCATTTAAAAACTAACTTACATCCACCCTACACTCACTTAACCCTCCACACCCCCCCTAACCCATCACCCTTTCACTTACCAACTAATCCACCCATAAATCCCCCATAATTACATACCCAAAACTCCTTTCATAAACTACATCTCCTCTATCCCCACTTTCCCCCCCCCCACCACCCCCCTCAACCTCCCCTTTAACAAACAATCCCTACATACCTCACTAATTAAAACCCCCAAATATATATTCTTATAATATTTAAAAATAAACCAACCTAACCAAACATAAATCATCCCCCCACCATAAACCAATCAGTCATCACAAACCAATTAACCAAACCAAAAAAATATTAAAATAAAATTTAATTTATCTATCAAAACCTATACACCAAATCAACATAACTCCCCTTTAACCCTATACACAACATCCCTTAAAAACTATCATAAAACATCATACCACCCTAAACCCACCCCAACCAAACCCATACCAACAACCCCCTAACGACCTTTCCAACCCATTCTAATCATCCCAACATCCCCACTAAAACATACAAAAAACCCCTTCCCCAATAACTACAACCACCACAACCCCCCAAACTCACATAACCCTTACCTTACACATCCCAACCTTCAAAATACATATTTAACCTCAATCACATTACATTCCCAACCACACACTTAATCCCACCACCTCCTAATAATATTAATCTTCTCTATTTATCATCAATACCCATCTTCCCCCCACACCACACTAGACTAACCACTACCTAAAACAAATACAAAAAGACAATACTAACAGACACCCCCTAAACATTTAATATCCCGCCCTTTATCTTAAATTGCCACCCACACCCCCATAAACCCAAACCTGTCCAAAATTATCCTACATATCCCTAACTAAAAAATAACCTATCAGTCTTCCTATTAATCCCAACACAAAACCATTCCAAATCAACACATATACCCTTAAACACAACTGCACAAATCTACCCATTACCGCCAAACCACCCCCCCCCCAAAACCCACAATACCATAAACTACACACCCCCTATAAAAACTCCTCCCATCACAATTAAAACCAAAAAATTCAACACACCATATCGATCTGAAATTCACCCCCACCCCCCCCCCCCCACCCACACAACACCAATTAAACCTCACTCTTCATACCTAAATCCTCAAGAATCCTATTCAGCGTTCATTTATTCTATATGTGAGTTACCTCTGATATCCCACACAACACACTAAACAGCCCTACTAACACTTATACCTGACCCATAGTCAACACAGGTATTGCAAAAACAAATCCCTATCCTGAAACATATAACAGTATAACACCCTTTACCACTATACTTACAGATACCATTCCATACACACAAAACCCATTACCCAATTACTCCTTTAATACACAAAATTACATAAATCCTTCCCCCTTTATAGTAACCACACTACCAACCATTCCAATGCCACTTCACTTTGAACCCCCACAACCAAGCCCCCACATCAGGTGTCTTTCCCTTAATAAACCCACCACATTATCCCTATCCCAAATTTCATCCCCATCACATCCCAAACTTATCCCACCCACTTCTTAACTCCACACCAATGACTGTAAAATATCCATTATATATTCGTTACACTTGGTTTCCTTAAGTGATATTTCTCAATTTATAATACTCCACATATTACCATATCCAGTCAAAATTATAAGACAATCCACTTACATCCACCTATGTCACACCCAAACCTCACATTCCCATCATTACCCATCCATACATATCATAACCAAAACCTAACAAACATCACAAAAACACTAAAACAAAAACCATAAACTATAGCAATAATATCTTTGTACACCTGTCTCCTATCTATCTCTAGGCTAGCATTTTATAAATATATCTCTAATTATCGAGATTCGATGCAATATCGTATCTCAGTATATGAAGATCCGATCAAGTCTATCAGGAATAGAGTCTCTGGAGCATGGCATCTATTGTATAATGTCTCTCTGATAGAGTGTCTGTCTCATCTAACTATATATGTTTTAGAAGGATCTAGATATAGGTATAGAGTAGTTCTAGTATCTGTAACTAGAGCTATCTCTTGTCTAGAAATATTGCCATTAGATCAGTGATAGATCTATAAACTATTTCAACGTCGATCTATCAAAATATTTATAGATGAGATAGTATTGCTATATAACTTTATATATGATCCCTACTCCCTCTCTCTAATTAACTCGTACAAGCGGCTCTTTGATTATCTAAGCAAAAATTAACTATCAAGCTCGATCCGAGTATATCTAACAAACGTATATAAAAGTCATATAGAGACCTCACTTTTTACATCTAAGATTTCCATGCTACCTATAATAAATCATATAGTGACGCCCGTCCTACTGAATAGATTAATACATTACTCCGTATCGCACCCAAACTGAAGTCCCAGATCATATAAGACAGTAATCCTAAGGTTCCTTTTTGATACACCCGTTCTCCACTCAGCATTTACTCGATGTGCTGTAATCGCCGTGACATCCCTTTGTACAACACCATAAAAGTGAAAAAATTAATCCTAATACCATCCTCGTTAAAAACCAAATTAGCAAACTCCCCATACAACCGGATGTTTCCAAAGGCATAATATCCTCTTTTTTTCTTCATCCCTCCGTTAATCTTTACATCATATTATTAACACCTTATAGATCCAATTACACTATAATTCACTTCACACATCTTTCGTCCCCCCTCCATGGCTACCATGTAAACCCATTTATACCTTATAATTTTACACCATTCATACAAACAGACCATACTACATGATTCAACTAAATATATAACGAATCATCCACCTTTAAACCTCTATATACTCTTACTTCCTATATCACAATCACCATATAAATCACAACCACCCTTCCACAGTCCTTCCTATACATTAAATGTGTAATTAAACAATATCACGAAACCAATACACAATAGGATAGTGTCATAAATACGTGTCTCCACACATATACTGACAAAAAACTAACATAAAATCCCACACTACCCCCACAAGTTCACAAACATACATCCCAACAAAGTAACATTCAAATTTTCGATCATTGTAACAATGTATTAACATCCTGATTAAACCCAACCCCTTCTTAAAGTAATCGTTCCCCTTCGGACAGCCCTCTGATACCCAGGTTCTTCGTTCCTCAATATCTGTGGACTAGACCACATCCTACTGTTCATCTCACGTACCCATTTCAGTCATAGCTGAAACTCGCTCTCATTATTATCCAACCAAATTCCCATTCAAATTTACCCCACAACACCTCGGCCCGCATTCCCGTTTCCTATCTTCTTAATATAATCACATTACCAACCCTGCAACAACTATACAACCTTCACAAACACATTCCAACACCCTCTCCCCCCCACCGCACAAGTACTCCTCTCCCTCACAAAATAATGACTCATCACTATATCCCCATACTCTCCACCCTTCTTCCATAGCCTTTGACTGTGCACACAATTATCCTTATCCCCGAAAAATCCCACACATCATCAACACCTTCAAACCCCATAACAACATTATCCCACCCCCTAACCCCCACTCCCTCTCACTACCCCCTTCAATTCCTTAACAAATAACTTCCCCCTAATACTCCAATACCCTTCCCCCACCTCCAACACCTCTTCCCCCTACAAATTTCCTCTTCCCTGTTAATAACACAGAACACCATACAATCCCACTATCCCCATATCTCCACACCCACCAATCTCATCCGCCTTCACAACATCATTCCCTAATAATTCCCCCTCTCCTCTAATAATCCCCTATCCAAAACATGTCTTCCAATTATCCCAAATAAACCCCCCCCCCATATTACCATTAATAATATGACCTCCCAATACCCCAACCCCCCCACCACCCCAATTATATACATACACTATCATTAACTAAAACCCTAAATGCATCTATATTATATTAATTCCCATCCCACTAACCAAACCCCCCCCCTAGGCCACACCTCCCACACACTTTTATCAACACCAATTAACCCATTAATCCCATTCTTCCTCATCTATACATTTTCAACAACTTCCAAACCACCACATTAAACCCCATATCCATAAAAACCATACAATCTAAAAACCCCCACAAATCATCCATTCAAACAAAATAACCACCCTCTTAACTCCAAACCCCAACCCCAACCATCCCTCCCCACTTACACATCCCAATCATCCTACACAACTCAATTCCAAACACCTATATTACCCTCCACCACCCTCCATTAAAACAAAAACAACAAATTTATATCTCACCTCATCCCCTAAAACTCACATAACATCCCCAATAAACCCCTCTCTAACTACCCTACCCCCTCCCAACCCACCACACAACACAAATCTCTATACCTTCACAAAACCCATACAACTCTATCCAAAAAACCACCACCTATTCCAAAATACCCCACCACACTTACCCCCACCCCCCCCACTTCACCAAACTACACCTAATATTCAACCCACTAAAACCCTAACAACACCCAATCACCCCCACCACCACCTTTAAAAAATCCCTTTCCAAACCCTACCCCCCCCATTCTATTATCAACCATCTCCATCATTCTTATTTTTCCTAATCCCAAATCTTTATCCACATCTCTTACATCACCCCTCACCATCCTTATTACCATCCCCTCTTCATCCACCATAACACACTTATCATCACACACCAACCCACCCCACCCACACCAAATTCCCACACCCCCCCCCTGACTTACATCCCCCATCTTACCACATATAAAATCCAAGCACC